TTTCGCAGGGATCATGGACTTAGTGCGGTTAGAGTTGATCTAGAAGCTTATGGTCAATAATCACAGCGTGGAAAAAAATCAAGCAGAAATACGAGAAATTGGTATGAATATGAAGATTCCTTGTATAATGTTATGCAGAGTTTGAGTGATTTCACCCTTAGTGATTCATCATATGGTAGTGGTAATGAAAACTACTAATCATCAGGCTATCCAACTGAAAATTATAGACCCTACCCTTATAGTTATTCTCCTGAACATTACCCTCCACCGTTACATCCCCAAAATAATTCTTTATGGATTTTGAACCCTAACAATTACTTGACATTGCATACATATGGAGAACAACCACGAGAAGATGGAGTTGATTTTCGAACATTTACTTATATGTTGTCCACAGGATGGAAGTAACCAAGATCAATCTCAATCTCAAAGTTTGGATCCTCCACCTCGTTCTTTTTGGTGGTGAGATTATTGAAAGGTAATGCTATTGCTTTCTCTTTTTTATTGTATTGTACAATTCTAAAAATCATTTTGGGTTTTATCAATATGTTTCATTTAATAAATTGTTAGATTTGTAATTGTGCATTTTATTTGTTCAATTGTTGCTAATGGAAAAGTCACTGATGCATAGTGACTTAAGAAATATTATTAATACTTATGATATTTTATTATCATATTTATGATATAATAAAATGCATTAAATCACTAAACACCCATATTTGCATGATTTTAAGTTGAAACATGTAAATATTCATGTTTTATGGCAGATTGTGAGTTGAAAAAAAAAATTCACACATTCGATTTCTGTTACCGTTACGTAACGTCCATTTCATCCCGCGTCCGTTACAACTTTACCGTTACCATTATGATGACCGTTACCGTTATTCAGAACCATGGGTGTTGGTGGTGATGTTGGTGGAAGGGTGGTGGTAGGTGATGGTGGGAGTGGAAGTGTGTGGACATGGATGGTGGTGATAGTGGTATAGTGGTGGCGGTGGTGTTTTTGAAATTTTAAAAAAGTTGTTTCAAAAAACACATAAAAACAATTCTAACCGGTTATCTAAGATTGTTGTAGAGAGAGAGAGAGAGAGAGAGAGAGAGAAAGAGAGGACTCTCAGTTTGGGAGGAGACTGATATCAGAAGGTTGATGAAAATCAATTTGAGCAATGAGTGTGGGCATTTCAGTAAACTCGAAATTTGACTTTCGGCACGGTCTTGTGGCAAGTGGGTCATGGGTAGGCCCATCCCATGTATTTGGTGGGCCTAAATCCAGTCCATTAGCCAAAAAAGGTAGTCTCTCTTGGGTATTTTTCGGGGTCCCAAATTTTTCCTTGCTCAGTCTTTGCCAAGGCACAACTCAAAACGAAAAGAGCAGGAGGGAGGAGGTAGTTAGTTTGTTAAGGTGAGTCAAGCATCCACAAATCCTAGCAGTCACCACCATCGTCAATCGTTCACTCATTTGGCTGCCTTGAATCGATGTAGGGCTAAGTTGTTGCTTTAATAATACCCAGACCCTCTTGCATTTCCTTCAGTTGACAGGTACTTCATCACTTGGTCACTGTCTGATTGCGCATCTAGACATAGCGATTGTTTTCTGGTCTACGATTGTATTTGTAGGAATTTCCACAAGATCCCAGTAGCCTTTCCTTTCTCTGCTTTAAGTTGCAACTGTTCTCATATATCCTCAGTTTTATTTTCTACTTCATAAGGATTTGAATTGCTTATGTTGTGGACATTATACATTGGCTATTTCATTTGTTCTGGGTCTTGATTTTAGCCCAAATAATTTGGCTTCGTATTCTTAAAATCAGCCTAAAAAGTGTGCAAAACTCTAAAGAGTAAACTTCTTTTGCTTCTTGTCTGGAAAATTAGCCAGCATCCATTACGCCTAAACTGTAATTTCAGGTTGGTTGGTAAGATTTGTCTGGTAGCACAGGAGCTTTGAATCACTGTGATCATCAATTATTATATCTTGCCCTCTTCATAATCAGCCATTCTTTCTTTATTTTTTTTCCTGGTTCTGTACAGATTTCTGCTGTGTATTTTTTTCTGGTTTGTTGATATTGGTTTGTCGATGTTAGTTTGGTAATGCTTATAGTTGTTCCTATTTTCTTCTAGTGTGTGTTTTGATGCAATTCTAGTTGGTTCCCACTTTTTTATTGTCATACTTTGGGGCAGCGTCTGTTGTTTTTTTAATGGTTTGGAACAATAGCAGATATGCATATGATAATTGATGGTTACACCCTTTGCATTATTGTTTCCTTATACAATCAAGTTCTTGCTTTTCTTTCTTGTAGTTTGAGGAGTACAAATCTTGTGGAGTATTCTTTGATTGACGCATAATTGGAGTATTGAACTTTGATACTGATATTTTTCTCTACTTAGCTTTATAAATTGTCTTGGAAATTGGATGTGTTGGATACATGTTTGATAATTTGAGTTTTTGTTTGATCTAATAATACGTTAAACATACCATCTTTTTCATATCGATCAAAGTGGAACTTGAGTTTTCAATAAGGAGCACGTTAGCTAGGCGGTTTTCTTGCACGAAAGCTAACGTGTGCCCTTACGTTTTCTTCGCTTGCTTTGCCGAGCTTCATACAAAGTCACGCCCCTTTTTATAATGTTTAGGCATTTTTATTATTAGTAATAATTATTTTTTATTTTTGTTATTATATGATCGGTTGAAACGGTGATCCATTGGCCTGATCCCTTTGTTGGGTCTGGAATCACTCCTTGGATTTTGTGTAGCAACGTGGTAGATTGTTTATATCCGGTACATCTATATTCTCACACGCTCATCTTCCAACCTTTTGTTGCATTGATAAGCAGAGGTCCTTACATTCCTCTCTCTATTGGGTATTCTAACTCTGTGGATCATCGTACTTTTAACATAGTTCTGTTGACCAGGTCTTCTTTCTGTTTCATTTGGGAGGAATGAAACATTATTTTGTTTAACCTACTATTGTTTTACCTTGTGAATTCTTTGGTGAAAAATATGGTTAGGGTTTTGGATTTCTATATGCCTTTAGCAGCAATACATATGCATAAATTGGATTTCTATATTCCTTGCTCATATGCACAGGATTGAACTGGAATCAAGGAATGCTTAGTCAGAAACATCATCATTAGCTTGAAAATTTGTGATATGCTTTGAATAGTCGCCCAAACAACTGCAGAGTTTGGTTCTTGACGCAATAGAAAGAGTACAGTAAAGAAAATGGCCGAGGGAGAAGATGATTTGCCAAGGGATGCAAAGATTGTGAAAACACTACTAAAAACGAACCTCGTGTTGTACACCAATTCCTAGAACTTTGGTACCGGTACATTGTTGATGTATTGACTGATGCACAGGTCTATTCAGAGCACGCTGGGAAGACTGCAATTGACTGTGACGATGTCAAGCTTGCTATTCAATCCAAAGTCAATTTCAGCTTCTCACAACCCCCACCCCGTGAGGTACATAATCTACCTCAGGCTTTTGTTAATCAATGTGATGATTCTCATTTGTCTTGATGCTGAATTTCTATTTGTTTTGAAAGGTATTTTCAGCATGAACTAAAAATTCGCTCCCACTTGTTCTAATGCAAGTGTATTTTAGCATTTGATTGAAGTATGGACTTAATTTAAATGAGAGACTGGAAATGGCGACTATTTCATGGAATTCAGGCAGAGCAGAAAGCTGCATTATATGACTTCTAATATGGGGTTACTGACAGAAATTGGCTATCAATTAAGAGTCTAGAGATATGCACTTTACTACCCTCCCTTTCCCGCTTAAAATGGGGTGGTAAGCAAAGTGCTTTGAGTTAGGTTTTCTAGGGTTAGTTTTCATGGTATGGTGAATGTTATCAGCATAATTTTTTTGGGGGGTCTGTTTGAATATTTAAAAAGGCTATTTTGAAGTTTTGATGAAGGGAATCAGTGGAAATATTGAATTGTTTCTAAGATTGATTCTTTTAAAGTGCACAAAGGAAGGACATCAAGGACATGATCACACCTAAGTTTTAGTACGTTACAACCTCACACACTGAGGTTTGTGTTGCATTGCATAAACATGAAAGAGCTTTTAAAAGTTACTGAAATAACCTCTAAAATGACATCTGTTGTGTTCAAAGCACCGCACGGACTCTCAACTTAGAAACCTGGACTTTTTGCTAAACCTGTAAATTGAAGTTTAAAACCCAACAAACCGAATACTAGTACAATAAGGCCCATAGACCACTACTAAGTCCTTGTCCAGAGTTTTTTAAAACCACAGAAATACCCTTGACCAGTGATGTTAAAGGCGCGCTTAAACTTGCGCCAAGGCCCAAGGTGCAGCAAGTCCCAGCTGTAGCACCTTGCCAAAACCAGGCAAGGCCATGTGAATAAGGCGCCTAGTGAGGCACAAGGCCCAAGTCGCCTATCAGGCGCGCTTGAGTGAAAACTTTTTTGTTTTGTCTTTTTCTCTTCCAGATGCATGCTGGTCATTATCTTTGTGTAAGTACATGATGTGTTGGTTGTGAGTGATACAGAAAACATATTATGAAATCTAATCTAACCCAATTCAATGCCAAAAGAAAGTCCTAAAAGTCACCTCTTCTCCCAATTCAAGTGCCATTTTTGTCCTATTTTTTTTTAACTTAATTTATTTGTTTGCTGTGTTTTGATAACCCACAGTTCGTCGAAACAAAAAAAATATCCCACCCAAACCTTAAATCACGTCTCCCAAGTCTGTCAGCCGCCCACCACCCTTTCTCCCTCTCTTTCTCTGCACGCTCCCTGCGACTTCTCTCTCTCTGCCATGGCTCAACCACCAACGGTGAACCCACCAGCGAAGACGAAACACCCCGGTTAGCTCCTTTCTCTCTGTCTCATCTCTATTTCTTCATCTCACGCACACAACACACACAGATCTCACCTCTCTTTCTTCATCTCTCTCACCAATCAAGCACACTCACACACACCCACAACTTTCTCTCTTTCTCTGCACACTCTCTGCGACTTCTCTCTCTGCCATGGCTCAGCCACCACCAGTGAACCCACTAGCAAAGACGAAACACCCAGGTTAGCTCCTTTCTCTCTGTCTCCAGTCGTGTTCTCTCTCTGTCTCACCTCTTTTTCTTCATCTCACGCACACAACACACACAGATCTCACCTTTCTTTCTTCATCTCTCTCACCAATCAAGCACACACACACAAACCCACAACACCCGCACACAAATCACACACTCACACAACACACACAGCAACACACAAACATGCGCACACAGATCACACACTCACACAACACACCCAACAACACAACCACACAAAAATAGAGCAAACACACACACTCCACAGCAGCACACACACACGAACACACAATCAACCAATTTGGATGTTTAATTTGGGACACACAATAATTGAGTGTTATTTTGGGTTTTTGAGTCTTAGGGTTTTCAAATTGGGTGTTAAAGGGATTGTGAAATTTTAAAATGGTTTTTTTTTAGGAAATATATCCCCCTTTTTGGATTTTTTATTTATCAAATTGGTTTCTCCCTTAAGGTTCTACTCTCTTTATTTGATATCCCCTTCTCAAGTCCCAATGGCATTATAAATTTGCTTGGGTATTTGTGAAGGATTTGACAAATGTAAAATTGGATGTAAAAGAATTCTCAGTTGTATTTCTTTTGTATTGCATAGTGACTTCGATTACATTTTGACCATAGGTGGTTTGCTATTTGTTTGATTTTAGTTCGTTTGCCATTTGTTTGAATTTGATGGTTCTCTACATGTGTGTTGATTGTTCTTTAAAATTGTGACGAGAGGAATTAAATTTATGTTTTGATTCATTTTAGTTAGTTAAAATGTTATTTATTGTGCCAGAAGGTTTACTTTATTGTGCCTGATTTTGTCTTAATATTATGCTGTTATAAGTTATTTATTTGTGCCTGAAATTTATGCCTGATTTTGTCTTATTATGTTGTTACAGTGTCTTCGTAAGGTTTGATGAACTTGATTGTGTATTGAAGTTCTAAATATTTCATCCGTTTCCAAATCAGGCGTTGAGTTCCATGATATATAATGTATAGATTTGGATACGAGAAGTTAAGGGTGACACACAGATTCGGATACGAGAAATTGGGGAAGGAAATTACTTTATCTTCTTTTCCCAATTTAGACGTGTGGATGTAGAGAGAATTAGATGTAAAAGGTGAGGAACGTGGGCATAGAGATATTAACATAGTGATTGATGCCAATTTGGTTGTGAACAAGACCCTATCTCTCACTTGGATGCTACAAAGAAATTTGAAAAATTGATGATAGACAAGAGAGAGATTGAAGGACTGCCAGCTACTGTTCTTGGATTAGCTGCACAAACCATTGTGTCTAAGGTGTTTTATAGGATGCTAATTCCGAAATTGTTTGAATTTGGTTTGATTATGTTCAATGTGAATTCAATTCGAATTTTATGTTTACCCAAATCTATTATGATATGTGCATACATTAGCTTTTGGGATTATTGGAATTCGAAATTTATGTTTACCGAGTTCAATGCTTGATTATTTCGTGTTCAAATTCAATGTTCGATTTTTTTTAGTTGAACTGCTTTATTAAAATTGTTGGTTCAATGCTTTATTATTGTCACAATTCATATGAATTGACATTGCTTAAATTGGGAAGTTGAGAAGTAAGAGCTTTGTCTCTGTAATAAAAAGTTTTGTTTATCTAAATTAAGTATGTTTCAATAAAATCCATGTGTTTATGAAATGAGCCTCTGTTTATTGAAGTTAGCCTCTTTTTGAAATATTTGGGAATCTGGATATTTTATGATATTTTCATTTTTTGAATATTTGCTTATATTTTATGTTTTTTGATGTTGCATCATATTTTGAAAAATCATTTGCATGTTATCTATAACTTGCACCTTACTTCGATGAGGCCGCTCCTCCGCTTGTGCCTCGCGCCTAGGTACCAAGGGACCTTGGCGCTTTAGTGCACTTCGCGCCTTAAATAACAGTGCCCTTGACTCGTAAAATATAGGGAATCATATAAGAAACTGACCAGCTGCATTCTAATACGGATGTTTCCAAGTGAGCTTCGCTTTGGAATCAAGATAAATTCCAAAATCTCTTCCTTGAATTCACTCTTTCTCATGTTCCAATAGAAAAAAGAAAAAGAACTGATTCTTTCTTAAGCTTCTTATGGACTGCATCAGGTGTCCATACCTTTTGGAATTGATATTTAACTGATAATATGAGCTTTTGTTGCTGAGAGAAGGAAGGAGATACCAATGCTTGAACCCTCAATCTCAGGGTCAGTCCATTTGGACAATAACCACTGAGGTACTCAAAAGCTTGGTATGAGCTTTTGTTGCCGATTCACCAGTATTAGAAATTTAATGGTCAAATAAGTGTCTCTCTGCTCAAGGGTACATCTAATGTTTCTAGTCTAAAGATTAACTGTCATTGTGCATACTTGCAAGTGGGTGTGTCTATCTGTATTGTCTGTGATTTGATTTGATGCGTGCATGACAAATTTTTATCAACCACTCAGGTGCTACTTGAGTTGGCTAGGAACCGGAACAAAATCCCGTTGCCAAAGTCAATAGCTGGGCCTGCGGTCCCACTTCCTCCTGAGCAGGATACTTTGATCAACCCGAACTACCAGCTTGCAATTCTTAAGAAGCATACTAGCCAACCTGTAGAAGAAATAGAGGATGAAGAAGGTGTTGATCCTAGTCCAAACCCTTCCCAAGAACAGAAGACAGATATGCCGCAAAATACTCCTCAACGAGTATCCTTTCCTCTTGTAGCTGAACATTCAAGATGAGAGTTGATCAAAGTACATTAACGAGGAAGTCGATGTTATGTGCACATTTTTATCTTTACTGGGTAATGGTAAATTCATAAGAAAGATATTATCTGAACACACTTCATCAACCAAACATTTGTATTATAAACAAACATTTTAAAAACTGTTGACATTCTCTTGCACAAGCCTCCAACTGGATATATCAACATAATCACACAGGAAAACCAAACCTGAAAGAGGCAAGAGGCACAAGGCACATGCTAGCATAATAGAATTTATAGCAAGAAAAACAGAACTTTTTTGCCCTTTGTTGAATGCAGTTGGTCATTATTCGAAGTAACAAAATTCATACAGTTGTTTGTTAGCATTTGGAAATGGAGTCGGATTGGAGTCCATGGGCGGACCAATCCGGATAGATAAAGATGATTAGTGTTTGGATTAACTTGAACTTGGTCAAGCCTAAATAAGGATGAATTTGGTTCCTAAAATCTCTACACCTTACCTTAGTTACTAAAATCTATTTACCTTATCCCCATGTGTTATATATAGTGGAACTCTACAAACACATGAGATATATAAAATTACTATGATTGATGCTCTCCAAACTCTCTCTCTATATTGTGACTTGTGCGAGATTCGAGAATGGTTGAAATTCGAGTTTGGCTCGTGTAGTCTAATTTATCTCAAGTCGAAGTGTTTGTGTTGAAATGTGTTTGTGATTATCAAGGATGTTTGGAAAGAATAGTAAAATAGTATTCAAATTTGTTGATTCGTTGTGTTCGGATCGTAACTGGGTATGACTTATTTTATGTATTCACGTTTTTGCATTCCTATCTTAGTATTAGAGTCATAATATACTGTTTTCTTGCTCTTAGAATGTATATTATGTGGTTTCATGGTATGAAAAATATATTAGAGTCATTTTTCTATGCATACCCCATGAAAATACATACTTACAAGCTTGATAAAGTTACCTAAATGAAATGAACGATTCAAGCCATAATTTTTGGATATGTTATTTCTTATACATGCTAGATCATACCTGAAAAATATGAGATTTATTGGATCTATGTGGCATGAAACCTTAATTTGAAAATTCGTAGCTTTGTTTATATACTACGATTTACATATTCGTTTTAGAAAACGAGACCTATGTGGTTAGAATCCTTGTCTTGATAGTTTTCTGGACATATAAAGAACGTAAAAAACAGAGTTATGGTTGATGAGTTATGAGCATTTGAAGTTTGATATCAAATATGATTTAAAAAAAAAATAACATGGCTAAAGGCCGTAAAGGGACATGCGACTAAGGGACAAGGGAACACTATCTGGTAGCTCTGATGAACACTAACCCACTGGTAGTGCAGACGGATCAAGGACAACAGTCTTCAAATAGTGGAATCAGAAATGGTTGGGACCACAGTGCTAGGGTGGAAACAGATATAGAGCGAACCACTAGATTAGCCAAGAAGGACGAATGTAAAACCCTAGCTATCAGTAGTATAAATAGTTGGGAGTGCTACAGTGCACGTAGGCGAAGATACTTGTAAGCAAGCAAGAGAGAATCGAGTGATATCTTGTAACAACTTAAACCTCACTCTCTATAACAGGGACCATCTTCCTTAAGTAATACAATCCCACATGGAACAAGAGTCTCCCTTATAGTGGATGTAACCTTAATCCTTTAGTTAAGATGAACCACTTATTTTTTATCATTTCTTCGTTGTTCATCTACAACATATACCCTCGCACACACCCACTTAAGTAATCAAATGCACGTTGGGCGTCGTTCTGTGACCCAAGTCCGTTAATTTCGAGCACCATCAATTTGGCACAATCTGTGGAAACGATTTTCATCGTTTCCTCTTTGTTTTTCTCCATCCATTTGGCAGTTTGATGGTCTCTACTCGAAACATGAGTAAAGCTCATGGGAACGAACAGATGTTGTAGAACTAACAAGGGACCATCCTCGAAAATCAGTGGGAAACCTCCCAATTTCAACGGTGAACCTTGAGAACGATCCCCCAATGACAAACCCAAATCCTATCAACGAGTTGGAGACGTACTGCTAAACCACATTGTAGTTGATGAAGCAGAATCAGGACCTCATCGCGTTGATTCATGCGCACAATATCCACTAGGCACCACCTGCGCCCCTTGTGCCTTCTGCACAGCTAGCTCAGAACAACCATCCTCTTCAGGATCATCAAAACCTACCTCCTTTGAATGGAGTCACTAACGCCAATGACCACAATCATTTCGGAGAAAATCACCAGCAGCGACAACCAGAAGCAAAAGCGAACGATAAAGCTCAGAGCCGAGCTAGAGCCGCTCAAGAGAAGATTGCATTCCTATTCCATCGCTATAGGCCATGGACCAGTTTTGGGAGCAGAGATTCTGGGAAATCTAGCAAGAGCTGGGAAATATGAAAAAAGTGGTGAAGGGTAAAGCCCCTATGACCATGGATGCCCTGATCTAGCAAACCGAATCCCCTTTCACCACGGAAATCTTACACTTCCCACTGCCCCAAAAGTTCAAGATGCCGCAGGTAGAGGCATTCGATGGGACTAAAGACCCTGCGGAACATCTCAACCAGTACAAAAATCAAATGGAGCTCCACGGTTATCAAGACCTCGTCCGTTGCCGAGCTTTCGCCATTACCCTCAAGGGGTCAGAGATAGCCTGGTTCAACAGGTCACTACCGGCATTGATCTCGTCCTTTTGAGAACTCTCCATCTAGTTTATTTCTCACTTCATTGGGGCGTGAACCTATTAGAAGCCATCTTACCACTCCTGAACGTCAAATAAGGACCAAATGAATCCCTTAGAAGTTATGTGCAGAAGTTCAATTAAGAATCAACTTCCTGCTCAATGCATCAGCAACCATATTTGCTTTACCTGATTGATAATGAAAAGTATAGTCATAATCTTTAATTAACTCAATCCACCTCCTTTGCCTCAAATTTAGCTTCTTTTGTGTAAATAGATATTTCAAACTTTGATGATCAGTATAAATTTCACAAGTTACACCATAAAAAGAAAGTCTTCATAATTTCAAAGCAAACACACTAGCAGTAAACTCTAAATCATGTGTAGGGTAATTACGCTCATGGTTTTTTAACTGTCTAGAAGCATATGCAAATACCTTACCATGTTGCATTAGCACACACCCCAAACCCCAGATGCATCACTCTAGATGACAAAACCATCACTTCCCGTTGGAATAGTCTACATGGGAGCTAAAGTCAACCTGTTCTTCAATTTCTGGAAACTCTGCTCACATTTGTCATTCCAATCAAACTTCACTCCTTTACGACTTAGTTGAGTCAATAACATAGAAATAATAGAGAAATTTTGCACAAATATTTGATAATAACCTGCTAACCCCAAGAAACTTTGAATTTCAGTCATCGACTTTGGTCTCTCCTATTTAACAACAATTTCAATCCTTGTTAGGTCAACTAGAACACCATCACTTGAGATAACATGACCCATGAATACAACACCACTCAACCAGAACTCACATTTGTCAAATTTTGCATACAATTGCCTGTCCCGCAAAATCTATAATACCACTCTCAAATGATGTTCATGTTCTTCTATTCTACGAGAATAAACTAGGATATCATCAATAAATACAATGAAAAATGAGTCTAGATAAGGCTAGAACACACAGTTCATTAAAGCCATAAATATGGTCAATGCATTAGTCAAACCAAACTGCATAACCAAAAACTCATAATGGTCATACCTAGTCCAAAAAGTTGTCTTGGATATATCACTATCCTTCACCTTCAACTGATGATACCCTAATTGAAGATCAATCTTTGAAAACACCTTGGCACCCTGTAACAGGTCCAACAAATCATCAATACATGGCAAAAAATACTTGTTCCATATAGTTACCTTATTTAGTTGTTAGTAGTCAACACACAACCGCATAATACCATCTTTTTTCTTAACAAATAACACCGGGACACCCCAAGGAGATACATTGGGTTGAATAAACTTGTGGTCTAATAGTTTTTATAACTACATCTTTAATTCTTTCAGTTCAGCTGGAGCCATACGATACGGTGCACCTGAAATTGGACTAGTGCCCGACATCAAATCAATGGTAAATTCAACTTCTTGATTAATTGGTACACCTAGCAATTCCTCAGGAAATACATCAGTAAATTCATGCCCAACAGGAATATTTCCCAACTCAGAACCACTCTTTTGAGTATCCTTTACATATACTAAGTACCCATGACACCCCTTCCTCAATAATTACCTTGCTTTTGTTTCATAAATTAACCCTATAGGAGTAATAGAACGATCACCATAAAATCAGAATAAAGACACATGCATAACCCGAAATACTACTTCCTTATGAAAACAATCTATAGAGGCATACCCAAAATCAAATCAAAATCCTAGATATCTAATGGTAACAAATCCACCAGTAACTCCCTATCACCTACATGTACAACACAAATAAACAGTCTCAACCACCTCCACATCACCCATCGGGGTAGAAATAGTTAATCCATTGTCCAAAAAGGTAGAGAGTCGGTCTATATGCATGGAAAATGATAATGACACAAATGAGTGCGTAGCACCAGAATCTAGCAGTACTCGTGCAAACCTTCCAAAAATAGAAAGCATACCTATAACCACCTCTGGTGTCGCCTGCGTATCACATTGCATCATCACAAACTCCCTTCCTCCTGTCTCTGATTTGCTCAAGGAACCAATACCTCAACCTCAAATACCTCTCTTAAAACCTCTACCACTAGTAGCCACTACCCATTGACGACGCAAGAACTGCAAGTTGTGGACAATCACGCTGCATATGACCTGAGTGCCCACATGTGAAACATCTCCGTAGAACATCTGTTCGAGATGATGTACATTCCATGGAAAAGTGTCCTCCCCTACCACATTTGTAACATAAGTTTCCCACACTATGGCCATTAAAACCACCCCTACCTTGAGAGGAAGATTGTTGACCAACAAAACCCTGTCATGTACCT